TTGCTCCTTTTATTTATTTATTTATTTTTTGCATATCCAGATTGGGCACGTAACAAAATCTGGAGATATTGCTGGACCTCGTGTCTTGGAGCATATTGTTGATGTCGTGCTATATATGGAAGTTGGTACCTTGTTAGATTGTTTTTACTGGATTGTTGAATTTTTTTTTCTCATGTGGTAGTAACTTATCCATTAAATCCCAATGTATCTCTTCTCAGGGGGAAAAGAGTTCAGCCCATCGTTTACTTCGATCTGTGAAGAATCGTTTTGGATCAACTGATGAGGTACACAATGGTACTCAGGCAACTTTCTTTATCCATACATTTATTTTTCCCTTGTTAGCCACATGGATCATTGATCTATTTGTAATAGTTATTTGTTTTATTAATTTAATTTCTATTCATTTTTGCATTTTTTTACTTTTTTGGTTCCTTGACGTTTATCTTGTCAACTAATTAGCCACATGGATCATTGATCTATCTATTTGTAATGTTTATTTATTTTATTGATTTAATTTCTATTCATCTTTGCATTTTTAACATTTTTTGGTTCCTTAAATATGTTTATCTTGTCAACTTATCTAATCTATTGTCCTACTAACGTTTCTTGTTTTTTGTTTTTCTCCGTTTTTTGAATTTTCTGAGCTAGAGCTTGTGTAATTCCTTTTTGTTTTTAAAACCTGAAACTTTTTATATTTATTTTCCTTATAATGATCAGCTGCTGAAAGTTTTTATATCGACTTTCCATATTATGATCAGCTCAACAAAGCTGATCTGAACTATTTGGCTAAAGTTAGAAAGAAAAAAACAACTAGGAGATCTGGGGAGAATGGTCAAACATATTGGGTCTTGGAATCGTGCGCTGTTCTATTTTGGTAAAAGCTCTTCCTTTGAGGTGACTTCTGTTTTCCTTCTATTTAACCATCCAATCTATAGCTGGATGAGGTGTGGCATTCTTGGACTCAGTTGTTGACTTTTGAGAGAAGGAACTATACCTATACCGTTCAAGTCATTGTACCTTGATCCTTGCAGTTTTTTGTATTAGTTATAAATGCTGAAGAGCTTAACCAGAGTTAGAATAGATGCATATTATTGTATCTTCTTTGTGAAGTGGATGAAACTAATTTTCAACTGGACAAGCTTATGTAATTATAAATTTTTGGCTTCTACATATATAAATGTTTATAGTAATCGCCTCTTAATCTGTGTTACTGATAGGGTTTTTTCCTTTGGTCTCAGCTTGGAGTATTTGAAATGTTACAATCAGGACTGCAAGCTGTTTCAAACCCCAGTGAGATGTTTCTATCTGAGCAATACTCAGATTCAGAGTATTTAGCTGGTTTAGCTGTTGCTGTAATAATGGATGGATCTCGTACTTTTCTCATTGAGATTCAGGTTACTTATTCACTGCTTTCATACTTGTTATCTTTCCTTTTGAGTCATTTTTTAACATTTTAATTAGCAATTGTTTGTCCTTTATGGATCAGATTAAATCAGTGAAATTTATTGTCCATCATTAAATTATTTAGCATGAACTTGATGATAATTATGATAGAATACTTCTATTTCCTTTTTATTCCTTGGGGCCAAGGATAGTTAGTAGATGTCTTGTTCTTTGTTGAAGTTAGAGCATCTAACCTAACCAATTGGAAATGGTTACAGATGCTCTATGGTTCTTAAACTGAGATTCAAGGGGTAGAAGACGTATGGTTTGGGATTTTATATTCGCAACATGCTCCTCATGTGTGGCCGGACTGAGCAAACACATGGAGAGCCTCACACTTGGAGCAAGTGTAGCCGACGATAACACGTGAACTTATTGCCTGCGCTGTGTTAAAGTTGGACTATCCAATTTAAAATCAGTTGGCACTGTGTGGAAAGCCTTACTGTTCTTATATTAAGATGCAAGGCTTAGAATGCCCAATGTCAGATGTCAAATTCTCGACATTCTTCTACTGCCATCATTATATCCAATTTAGTCAACTCCTCGGCTCAATCAGGAGGGTTCCTCAGTATTTCTTAGGGGCAGTGAGATAGGTTAGATATATACTATGTTCTAAAATAATTTTTGGATTGGACCCATACCACCGCTTTTCCTAGAATTGCACTAAGCAACTAAATGTATATTAGTATTGTATGTCCTCTGCATTTTGTCTTGCTTGTAATTGCGTTCTCAAACAAATCATTTGACATTTGACCAACTTTCATAAATTTTATGTAGGCATTATGTGTATCTGAATCAACAATCTCCCGGCAAGTTAATGGGGTTCCACCAAGTAGAGCTTCCATGATTATTTCTGTGAGTAATTTTAAAGTTTTTGTGTATATTTTCGATTTATATTATTTGTGCCATAGACAGCAATACACAAGAAACTTCAACGGTGCAATATAAATTAGCAATTTACATCACCCGATTGATTATATGCCATTCCTTAGATGAAGATACTGTGCTATGGCTCATGTTAGTCAAGGCAGTATTATGATTGAATTTGAGCTTAAGGTGAACGGTTTATCCTGATCTCATTGCAGATTCCTTATATTTAGAGTTTAAAAAAGAGCATAATGTCTCCTCTCAAAATAAAAAATAACAAAGAAAAACTATAATGTCATTGTCATCCTACTTCATTTGCACTAAGTCTAAGTTTGATGAAAAGCGAGTTGTCATTTAATCTCTTATATGTTTTAGGTACTTGCAAAGCAAGCTGGTCTAAAGCTCCAGGAGAATGTAAGTAAAATCTTATGATAATTCTTGGTTTCTAAAGTTGATTTTCTATCATTGAATTTAAGCATATCTAAAGATTTTTTCCAGGTTTGAAATATTTATACAACAAGAAATGATTCGGAACACTGTGAAAGGCATGAGAATTTGAAAAATCGTTTAGAGATATTATGGCTAAAATTTATTAGTCAAAGATGAGGCCAGTTTACATCATTATTGCCACCTTGCTTGTGTAAAATACAGTGAAACATGTGGACATTTGTAGCCATCGGTAATTAGTAAAGAAAGTGATACTAAACACTTATACTGATAGGAATAGTGTCAAACATGGTAAATGAAGTTTTCTTATACTGTGCAAACAGAAATCTTTTGATTGTTAAGTTGAGTCATAGGGAAAAAAGCCTACATGCCAGACTCCTTTCTATCTATGAATTCATTGAATTTTGAGTTTACCGATTAAATAAGTTCGTTATTTTTATTATCACTTATACGACTGTCTTATTTATCGTTGGTCAGTTTCCTGTTCCATTATTTTTTTCTTCTTAATAAGAAAGTTCCTTTATCATGTTAGGCCATCTTCTTAAATGTTGTTAGTGGGGTATTCCTGAAAGACACTGCTGGGGATCTTGCAATAGCAGCAGCAATTTGCAGCAGGCATGCATACTATTACTTTCTACTAATCAAACATGTTTTTGTAACTAGATGGCATTTACCTTTTTGTTTTTGCCCCTATGCATTTTTTATTTTAGACATTTAGTATGGTGGTTATATCAGTAACAGAAAAGAAGAACCTCAGAACTTTTGTCTTTGTAATGCATTTACCACCTACTTCTTTTTTTATAATGTCCCTTCAGATAAATATTTTATTTACCACGTGTTTCTTGTCCTTACTCTTCAGTTTCTTGGAGTTCCCTATTCCCAATAGTATTGCATTCATTGGTGAAATTGGACTTGGTGGTGAACTTCGCCAGGTAAGCATATCATTTCAATGTTATTTCACCATTGCTCTTATATTTCCTTAAAATTGAAGTATATAACAGCATTTCAGATACAACAGATTTTACCACAGGGTTCTGAATAGTAATATTGGTTTTTAGGTTGAATTATGAGAAGATCAGTTTCCTATTTTGGATATGTTGTGGTTCAGATCTTGTATGATTATTATTGTTATAGCCTTGAGTTGCATGTGAGATAATAAGACCTAGTCTTATTACTTGCCATCCGAACTCGGATGTTTGAACTTGTTCACTGTGAATGTACCCTTTTAACTTCATCTTAATAAAGTAATTATGTTTCATGAAATGGAGCAGGCCCAAGCAACCAATATTACACCTCTGAACAAACAACATTGAATATCACCATGTTGCTTTTAAATTCATCTTCCAGGAAGTTACAAGCTGACAACTTAGTGCAGTGTTTCTTCTACAGTCACAAATACATAAGATATGGAGATAATTTGCTAGATTTGACCCCATCCCCTTTCTCCTTTATTTTCTTTCAAGCAATTTTATTTGATGGCAATTAATTTTATTATGTTAGGTTCCTCAAATGGATAAAAGGATACACACACTGGCAAAACTGGGTTACAAAAAGTGTATTGTACCAAAATCAGCCAAGACATCTCAAGGAACGCCAAGTTTTGAGGATATCAAAATAATAGGCTGCAAGGATCTGAAAGAGGTCATCAGCAATGTGTTCAAATGATGCTGATGCAGATCAAATCATTTTGATTTTGTATATATTATTGTATCCGGAAATATGTAAAAGCTGTAGGTTGATGTGCTTAGAGTTGCTTGTCATAGCAGTTGGTGCGCCCGGTCTTTTAGGGCATGACGGATACATCTTCTCTCTCATTTTGGATGCTTGAAAGAGAATGCAGTTATTATGGTCTTGAACTCCAGTTGCTGTGAGAAAACCATCTTTGCATATTGTGAGGCAAAATTGTTATGGCAACTCTTTTGCTAGTATTTTGTTAAGTGCTTGCTTTCTGCTTGTTTCTCGCTTTATATTGCATCAAATCCCATTTTATGCTGTTTTCTTTTATCACGTGCGTGATAAGATTTAGAGGTTTTGTGACGAGCTCTATAATGTAGTTGTACACTAACATGAAATAGAAGAATCGCCAGGAAATATATATTTTTTCCTGGAAAGCAAAAGCAGCTAATACCAAATTTGTGTAGTTTCTTGGTTTTACTGATATTTACTCGTTTCGACTACCCAGGGTGGATTTAATAATTTATTCTGAAATAATAAACTTGGTTGGGGGAAGCGTCGACTCATAATTGCTGATGAAAACTCAAATTTCATTCTTTTCACCAATGAACACACAACTTCATACATCTAACATATAAACGCTCAAACCTGAAACTCCACCGGGTTTGGGTGCTCTTGTAAGAAAATAAACTACATCAAACAGGGAACCAGAAATGGTGCGAAATTGAAAAGGGAACAGCAAACACAATGATCTTTGACTTGCCAAATAAGTTGCTTGTTGGTCTTTTTTCCTACTTTGGGTTAGACACTGCGGTTGCTTCAATATGGTTTTCCCCATCTATCAGTTGGTCTTCTGTATCCTCTTTCTTCGTTTCGGCAACCTTGTTGGCGACCTCTTTAAGATCCAAGAAGCTTGGCTGATTGGTTGATGATAATAACCGTGCCCACATTCTGTGAGCATCTTCTTAAATGTTGTTAGTGGGGTATTCCTGAAAGACACTGCTGGGGATCTTGCAATAGCAGCAGCAATTTGCAGCAGGCATGCATACTATTACTTTCTACTAATCAAACATGTTTTTGTAACTAGATGGCATTTACCTTTTTGTTTTTGCCCCTATGCATTTTTTATTTTAGACGCCCCAAATGATGTGAATTTTATTTTCTGCAGATATTCTTGTATTACTTGCATCATATTTCCTGTCCTAATGGTCCATTAGTTTGTTCAGGGGAAAGGTCGACTATCCCATATAAGTCACATTGTTGCCTGAGATGCTTGGAACTTATGTATCATGTAGACAAGAAGCACCAATCCAGAATGCCACGTACAAAATTTACCATGTTTATATACATGCAAAGAGATCCCCACTTCTGAATCGTCATTTAGTATGGTGGTTATATCAGTAACAGAAAAGAAGAACCTCAGAACTTTTGTCTTTGTAATGCATTTACCACCTACTTCTTTTTTTATAATGTCCCTTCAGATAAATATTTTATTTACCACGTGTTTCTTGTCCTTACTCTTCAGTTTCTTGGAGTTCCCTATTCCCAATAGTATTGCATTCATTGGTGAAATTGGACTTGGTGGTGAACTTCGCCAGGTAAGCATATCATTTCAATGTTATTTCACCATTGCTCTTATATTTCCTTAAAATTGAAGTATATAACAGCATTTCAGATACAACAGATTTTACCACAGGGTTCTGAATAGTAATATTGGTTTTTAGGTTGAATTATGAGAAGATCAGTTTCCTATTTTGGATATGTTGTGGTTCAGATCTTGTATGATTATTATTGTTATAGCCTTGAGTTGCATGTGAGATAATAAGACCTAGTCTTATTACTTGCCATCCGAACTCGGATGTTTGAACTTGTTCACTGTGAATGTACCCTTTTAACTTCATCTTAATAAAGTAATTATGTTTCATGAAATGGAGCAGGCCCAAGCAACCAATATTACACCTCTGAACAAACAACATTGAATATCACCATGTTGCTTTTAAATTCATCTTCCAGGAAGTTACAAGCTGACAACTTAGTGCAGTGTTTCTTCTACAGTCACAAATACATAAGATATGGAGATAATTTGCTAGATTTGACCCCATCCCCTTTCTCCTTTATTTTCTTTCAAGCAATTTTATTTGATGGCAATTAATTTTATTATGTTAGGTTCCTCAAATGGATAAAAGGATACACACACTGGCAAAACTGGGTTACAAAAAGTGTATTGTACCAAAATCAGCCAAGACATCTCAAGGAACGCCAAGTTTTGAGGATATCAAAATAATAGGCTGCAAGGATCTGAAAGAGGTCATCAGCAATGTGTTCAAATGATGCTGATGCAGATCAAATCATTTTGATTTTGTATATATTATTGTATCCGGAAATATGTAAAAGCTGTAGGTTGATGTGCTTAGAGTTGCTTGTCATAGCAGTTGGTGCGCCCGGTCTTTTAGGGCATGACGGATATGTCTTCTCTCTCATTTTGGATGCTTGAAAGAGAATGCAGCTATTATGGTCTTGAACTCCAGTTGCTGTGAGAAAACCATCTTTGCATATTGTGAGGCAAAATTGTTATGGCAACTCATTTGCTAGTATTTTGTTAAGTGCTTGCTTTCTGCTTGTTTCTCGCTTTATATTGCATCAAATCCCATTTTATGCTGTTTTCTTTTATCACGTGCGTGATAAGATTTAGAGGTTTTGTGACGAACTCTATAATGTAGTTGTACACTAACATGAAATAGAAGAATCGCCAGGAAATATATATTTTTTCCTGGAAAGCAAAAGCAGCTAATACCAAATTTGTGTAGTTTCTTGGTTTTACTGATATTTACTCGTTTCGACTACCCAGGGTGGATTTAATAATTTATTCTGAAATAATAAACTTGGTTGGGGGAAGCGTCGACTCATAGTTGCTGATGAAAACTCAAATTTCATTATTTTCACCAATGAACACACGCAACTTCATACATCTAACATATAAACACTCAAACCTGAAACACAACCGGGTTTGGGTGCTCTTGTAAGAAAATAAACTACATCAAACAGGGAACCAGAGATGGTGCGAAATTGAAAAGGGAACAGCAAAACAATGATCTTTGATTTGCCAAATAAGCTGCTTGTTGGTCTTTTTTCCTACTTTGGGTTAGACGCTGCAGTTGCTTCAATATGGTTTTCCCCATCTATCAGTTGGTCTTCTGTATCCTCTTTCTTCGTTTCGGCAACCTTGTTGGCGACCTCTTTAAGATCCAAGAAGCTTGGCTGATTGGTTGATGATAATAACCGTGCCCACATTCTGTCAGTAATCACAACCTTGTTCTGCCTCTCGGTCACACGCTACACATTCAAGAAATAAGCAACTTATACAAACAACTCAAACACAAGAATTACAATATAAGGCAGTAGCCGGATAACCCCAAATGATGTGAATTTTATTTTCTGCGGATATTCTTGTATTACTTGCATCATATTTCCTGTCCTAATGGTCCATTAGTTTGTTCAGGGGAAAGGTCGATGCTCAAGATCTATCCCATATAAGTCACATTGTTGCCTGAGACGCTCGGAACTTATGTATCATGTAGACAAGAAGCACCAATCCAGAATGCCATGTACAAAATTTACCATGTTTATATACATGCAAAGAGATCCCCACTTCTGAATCGTATGCTCCTTTCTATTATTGAGATAGCTAATTAAACCAAGAATAACATATAACTTACACAGAATGGAATATACGCGTGCCTTCCGTTAACAGGCCCAACAGTGAAGCCCGTGTATCCTGCCATTGCACCATGAATGGCACTGTGAGCAAGAAGGGTGCAATATACATTATCAGATGCATTGCCTGGAATAGCACGGATCATGTAAGTGGGATCTGCAGGCATGCACAACAATTGTTGGGTTATATAATTTGTTCCGCAAGGTTACACATGCACAGAATCAAATAATAAAAAGGCAATATTTCAGTCCCCAAAAAAGGCACTGTTCCAGAAGAACGAACCTATATATTTGAGAGTTATATTCATCCTTCTCCGTTTCGTGAAGTGGTCCTACAAGAACATAATCAATACATACAGTAAGAAGTGGCATGCCTCTTATCAAGTCACTCAAAAATGCTCTGGATAAAATAAAACAATAAAATACCAAATATGATGTCTAATTTAATAAAAAAAAACACAGACCACATTTCTTTTTGCCTGTTCTGTAAAACCTTGAAATTTTGGAATGTCACCAAGGATGCCAGCAAATCCACTAGGCACTATCTTCTGGTTATACTAGGACTACTCTATTGCTTACTAAGAAAAAGGACTTGTAGGGAACTGACTTTATTTGTCTCTCTATGATATTATTTAAGGATTTGAGAAAAGATATTTATGACCAAAAGCTTAAGCTTAAAAGTGTTTGGCTGCTAGACACAATCTTCTCGAGTCCCCGTGTTTTCTTACGGGTGATAGGGTTATTGTAGATACAATGTTTCAGAATTGACATGCTTACAACAGATAAAGAGTAACAAAACTAGACAACCACACAAACAACGCATGGGGAACAACATATCTAATATCAGTCATAGAAATTACATTAGCATCTATACCTTAATATTCTGCGATAACCACAGGCCAACATC